ATGGGAGGTGTTCCACCCACTGAGAGGCACTGCTCCCTTTACATGGGAGGTGTTCCACCCACTGAGAGGCACTGCTCCCTCTACATGGGAGGTGTTCCACCCACTGAGAGGCACTGCTCCCTCTACATGGGAGGTGTTCCACCCACTGAGAGGCACTGCTCCCTCTACATGGAAGGTGTTCCACCCACTGAGGCACTGCTCCCTCTACATGGAAGGTGTTCCACCCACTGAAGGTGTTCACTGAGAGGCACTGCTCCCTCTACATGGGAGGTGTTCCACCCACTGAGAGACACTGCTCCCTCTACATGGAAGGTGTTCCACCCACTGAGGCACTGCTCCCTCTATATGGAAGGTGTTCCACCCACTGAGAGGCACTGCTCCCTCTACATGGAAGGTGTTCCACCCACTGAGAGGCACTGCTCCCACTACATGGGAGGTGTTCCACCCACTGAGAGGCACTGCTCCCACTACATGGGAGGTGTTCCACCCACTGAGAGGCACTGCTCCCACTACATGGGAGGTGTTCCACCCACTGAGAGGCACTGCTCCCACTACATGGGAGGTGTTCCACCCACTGAGAGGCACTGCTCCCTCTACATGGGAGGTGTTCCACCCACTGAGAGGCACTGCTCCCTCTACATGGGAGGTGTTCCACCCACTGAGAGGCACTGCTCCCTCTACATGGGAGGTGTTCCACCCACTGAGAGGCACTGCTCCCACTACATGGGAGGTGTTCCACCCACTGAGAGGCACTACTCCCACTACATGGGAGGTGTTCCACCCACTGAGAAGCACTGCTCCCACTACATGGAAGGTGTTCCACCCACTGAGAGGCACTGTTCCCTCTACATGGAAGGTGTTCCACCCACTGAGAGGCACTGCTCCCACTACATGGGAGGTGTTCCACCCACTGAGAGGCACTACTCCCACTACATGGGAGGTGTTCCACCCACTGAGAAGCACTGCTCCCACTACATGGAAGGTGTTCCACCCACTGAGAGGCACTGCTCCCTCTACATGGGAGGTGTTCCACCCACTGAGAGGCACTGCTCCCACTACATGGGAGGTGTTCCACCCACTGAGAAGCACTGCTCCCACTACATGGAAGGTGTTCCACCCACTGAGAGGCACTGTTCCCTCTACATGGAAGGTGTTCCACCCACTGAGAGGCACTGCTCCCACTACATGGAAGGTGTTCCACCCACTGAGAGGCACTACTCCCACTACATGGAAGGTGTTCCACCCACTGAGAGGCACTGTTCCCTCTACATGGAAGGTGTTCCACCCACTGAGAGGCACTGCTCCCACTACATGGAAGGTGTTCCACCCACTGAGAGGCACTGCTCCCTCTACATGGGAGGTGTTCCACCCACTGAGAAGCACTGCTCCCACTACATGGAAGGTGTTCCACCCACTGAGAGGCACTGTTCCCTCTACATGGAAGGTGTTCCACCCACTGAGAGGCACTGCTCCCACTACATGGAAGGTGTTCCACCCACTGAGAGGCACTGCTCCCTCTACATGGGAAGTGTTCCACCCACTGAGAGGCACTGCTCCCTCTACATGGGAGGTGTTCCACCCACTGAGAGGCACTGCTCCCTCTACATGGGAGTGTTCCACCAACTAGCCGATATTAAACAAACATTGATACTCTCTCCTCCTTACGCTTAGGTCCCAACTGACAGCGACTCCACAGAGTGTCAGACACACCGCCAGTTGAAGCTGCAGAGATGGTCAGAGAAATGGCTACTGGAGTTCAACACGAACAAGTGCATTATAATTATGGGAAATGGAACCAGGTGACAGGGGATCAGAGGGTGAGGATATAGTGTAGGGAAACTGCCTACCTGTGACGACGCGTGAAAGAGACCTGGGCGTGGACGTAACACCTAATCTATCTCCTGAGGCACATATAAATAGGATAACGACAGCAGCGTACTCTACACTGGCAAAAGTTAGAACATCATTCAGAAACCTAAGTAAGGAGGCATTTAGGGCGCTTTACACTGCCTACGTGAGGCCAGTCTTAGAGTATGCCGCCTCATCATGGAGTCCCCATCTGAAGAAGCATATAATGAAACTGGAAAAGGTTCAGAGGTTTGCAACGAGACTCGTCCCAGAGCTACGAGGGATGGGGTATGAGGAGCGCCTGAAGGAACTGTGCCTTACGACACTAGAAAGAAGAAGGGAGATGGGGGGGGGGGACATGATAGGAACGTATAAAATACTCAGAGGGATTGACAGAGTGGACGAAATGTTCACACGGAATAGTAACAGAACGAGGGGACATGGATGGAAGCTTGAAACTCAGATGAGTCACAGAGATGTTAGAAAGTTTACTTCTAGCGTGAGAGTAGTGGGAAAATGGAATGAACTAATGGTTGTGGAAGCAAACACTATTCACAGATTTAAAACTAGGTATGATAGAGAAGAAGAACAAGAGTTATTGCTGTAAACAACCGATGGCTGGAAAGGCGGGATCTAAAAGCCAACGCTCGATTCTGCAGGTAGATATAGGTGAGTACACACATAGATATAATATATGTAATATATTATAGCTATATACACCCTGTGAGTGTGTTGTGAGGCCCTCACACACCCTGTGAGTGAGGTGTGAGGCCCTCACACACCCTGTGAGTGTGTTGTGAGGCCTTACCAACCTTTTCGCACTTGTTACACAGTAATTTAATTGTTTTGACATTCACATTCTGTGTTGAATCTGGTCTTAAGGGTGTTGATGGAGGTGGCTTCTGTAGCTTCTTATCCCGGTGTTATCCACTTGCTGACCAACCGTATAGGGTAGAGATATTTCCCGTGTGTCCATATGGCCCAGGGGCCAGCACCTGAGGGCCCAGGGGCCAGCACCTGCGGGGCCTGGGGCCAGCACCTGCGGGGCCTGGGGCCAGCACCTGCGGGGCCTGGGGCCAGCACCTGCGGGCCCTGGGGCCAGCACCTGCGGGCCCTGGGGCCAGCACCTGCGGGCCCTGGGGCCAGCACCTGCGGGCCCCGGGGCCAGCACCTGCGGGCCCAGGGGCCACGAGACGCGGGTACGTGTTGTGAGGGCCCCGGTCGGCGCCGCCGCCTCGGAAGTCACTGAGTTAATTAGTCTTCCCGCGCTGGTCGTTCTTGTGTCGCTGCCAAGTGTGGGTTTGTGGCGGGGTGACAGTAGCTCTCCTGGCTCTCACCCTCCCTCACCACTCACCCTCCCTCACCACTCACCCTCCCTCACCACTCACCCTCCCTCACCACACCACACATACACCGTAATAACGTTACGAAACACTAAAACATTTTTGTCCAAGAGTGCAGCCTAGTGTGAGCAGGTCAATACGTGCACTCGAGTCAGTAACATTGTATCCTTCACTAATGTAGCAAAAATAATCATATAACAGAGTGGAGAAGATAAACAAAAGCAAGGAGTGACTTAGCCAAGAGGGATAACAAGGGATAACATGATAACATTGTGCACGTGTACAACAGCCGCCGCTCTACGCTGCAACGTAAGATACATCAGAGAGATCTATGTCATCTGTTACTGGCTAGTAACATAGTAAAGAGAAGTAGTAACTTTAATGCGAGAATTAATATTAATGGGCATAACTTAGTTTATTATAAGTTGTTTAATGTCAATGAAAACATTTTGGTCAAGTTGCATATGGAAAACGCTGCAACTGTTTTATGTTTCAGTATCATAGCCTAAACGGAAAGGGAGAATTGTTTTTTTTTCAACTACTGTTCATATGTTCAATAAGCCTCTACAACCACAAGTTTCAAATCAAATCCTTTCTATGAGACACTTCTATCACATTAGCATATAATAAAGAATCTGTATGAGCGGATTTTCCAAAATATGTTTAGTTTTACTAATACAAATTGTCAAAGTTCCCCCTAAAATAATTATGCAAATATATCATGTTTATTACTATTTATAAAATTAATAAATATACTTAGGAAAAACGCTTCCTACATATAGTAGAGACATAAACTCTACATGTAAGTTGTAAGTTTTATGTGAATTGAATACAAAATCAAAGTTTATGTTACTTGAAAAGAGATTATTAAAAAAATGAAGTCTAAGGTGCTGCCATCTGTGGCTGAGGTTGACATCAACCAATTTGCTCCAAAATTGGCACCCTTACAGATAGGCCTACGTGCAGTCACGTGTATAAGTTTGATGCAAATCGTCCAAAACAAATATGAATAAAAAAGTTGAAAACAAACACAAAAAAGTACTCATGTAAAATGTACAGATACAGATATCACACCTGAGGTGCCCCTTGACCACAGTACAGTAATTCACTTCACTCAGACATAAGCACTCACGCCGGCCTCTTCTCTTACAAAGAACGTCGCTTTTCGCTCGTATGCGTTACATATGGCCAAAAATTTTCGTACTAGAAAATGGAAACGGCTGGCGAAAGTAACGTACTGTCCCGTTTTCTGTTTTGGGTCCTCTGGCTTAATCTGGTAGATTAGGAGAGACCACTTTAAATTCACCGTTTTCTTGGCCTTTGAAACTTTAGGAGGACGGGTTGCTCGCAAACCTCTACCATCAATCAGACAATAAGAGAGCTGGCGAGAGGTACCATGCAGGTGCCAGGTACCAGGCATAATGCATAACTGGATTACCCGTCAGAAAATCCAGATGTTCTCCGTTATCCAACTTTTTCCTGACCTTGAAGCCAAGGAAGACCTTTTCCTCTTGCCTAGTGTGAGAACATGGACACTCCCTCGGTCCCTATCCTCTTGGGAACACGTAAAGTTCATGTATAATATTGATAACCGAGTCTACATGTTAACTACCCACTGGCGGGTCTCCTGCTGTGTCTGGGGGAGATGGCTACACAGCTTGGGACGCGGACATGAAGCAGATGGTCCATCGCTGAGTCACTTGTTCAACTCTGTGGTACTAAATGACTCAGCCGTAAATAGTTGAGTCTCACCATGAATTTAATCGCCCCCTTAATGGCTATCTAGTGGTTCACGGGACCACTGGAGGCATGTGTCTTTATTACTGCAGGAGTGCACCATCTTACTGCTGCAAGAGTGCACCATCTTACTGCTGCAAGAGTGCACCATCTTACTGCTGCAAGAGTGCACCATCTTACTGCTGCAACAGTGCACCATCTTACAGCAACAGTGCACCATTTTACAGCAAGAGTGCACCATCTTACAGCAAGAGTGCACCATCTTACAGCAACAGTGCACCATCTTACAGCAACAGTGCACCATCTTACAGCAACAGTGCCCCATCTTACAGCAAGAGTGCACCATCTTACAGCAACAGTACACCATCTTACAGCAACAGTGCACCATCTTACAGCAACAGTGCATCATCTTACAGCAACAGTGCACCATCTTACAGCAAGAGTGCACCATCTTACAGCAACAGTACACCATCTTACAGCAACAGTGCACCATCTTACAGCAAGAGTGCACCATCTTACAGCAACAGTGCACCATCTTACAGCAAGAGTGCACCATCTTACAGCAACAGTGCACCATCTTACAGCAACAGTGCACCATCTTACAGGAACAGTGCACCATCTTACTGCAACAGTGCACCATCTTACTGCAACAGTGCACCATCTTACTGCAACAGTGCACCATCTTACAGCAACAGTGCACCATCTTACAGCAACAGTGCACCATCGTAAGTTAAAAGGAAAACCGGCAAATATTCCTCTTGACTCGTAGATACGAGAACACTCAGCTCCCGGGCCCCGCCTCCCACTACCACAACACCACACAGCTGAACCCAAATGTCATCTTGTTCTACTCAAACATCTCCTGAGAGCGTAAGTTCGAGCTGACTTAAGGCTCCATGGTGACGTTTATACATCCTAATTTAAATACTTTCTGGTAGTGGGTAGGTTAGATTAGCATTTTAAAAGCACTACAATCACCTTCTGTGGTTGATTGTTCAATATATCACCGAAGTATATGTTTAACACATCTCTCGCCCTGTCCAAGGGGGACAGAATGAAATGTATATATGCTGGTTAGCATTGTTAATGTCTGGCCACGTCTGTGGAAGGTATAAGTGCCAGGTGGGAGTTAATAATGAGTGTGTGAGGGGAAGACGGACGAGTGATGATGAGGCACGTACCAGCACGTACTGGTACATACCAGCACGTACTGGCACGTACCGGCACGTACCAGCACGTACCAACACGTATCAACACGTACTGGCACGTACCAGCACGTACCAACACGTACCAGCACGTACCAGCACGTACCAGCACGTCCCAACACGTACCAGCACGTACCAACACGTACCAGCACGTACCAGCACGTACCAGCTCGTACCGGCACGTACCAGCACGTACCAGCACGCACCAGCACGCACCAGCACGTACCGGCACGTACCGGCACGTACCAGCACGTACCAGCACGTACCAGCACGCACCAGCACGCACCAGCACGTACCGGCACGTACCAGCACGTACCAGCACGTACCAGCACGCACCAGCACTCACCAGCACGTACCAGCTCGTACCGGCACGTATCGGCACGTACCAGCACGTACCAGCACGTACCAGCTCGTACCGGCACGTACCGGCACGTACCAGCATGTACCAGCACGTACCAGCACGTACCAGCTCGTACCGGCACGTCCCAACACGTACCGGCACGTACCGGCACGTACCGGCACGTACCAGCATGTACCAGCACGTACCAGCACGTACCAGCTCGTACCGGCACGTCCCAACACGTACCAGCACGTCCCAACACGTACCAGCTCGTACCGGCACGTACCAGCACGTACCAGCACGTACCAGCACGCACCAGCACGTACCGGCACGTACCAGCACGCACCAGCACGCACCAGCACGCACCAGCACGTACCGGCACGTACCAGCACGCACCAGCACGTACCAGCACGCACCAGCACGCACCAGCACGCACCAGCACGCACCAGCACGCACCAGCACGCACCAGCACGCACCAGCACGCACCAGAACGCACCAGCACGTACCAGCACGTACCAGCACGCACCAGCACGCACCAGCACGTACCAGCACGTACCAGCACGTACCAGCACGCACCAGCACGCACCAGCACGCACCAGCACGTACCAGCACGTACCAGCACGCACCAGCACGCACCAGCACGTACCAGCACGTACCAGCTCGTACCGGCACGTATCGGCACGTACCAGCACGTACCAGCACGTACCAGCTCGTACCGGCACGTACCGGCACGTACCAGCATGTACCAGCACGTACCAGCACGTACCAGCTCGTACCGGCACGTCCCAACACGTACCGGCACGTACCGGCACGTACCGGCACGTACCAGCATGTACCAGCACGTACCAGCACGTACCAGCTCGTACCGGCACGTCCCAACACGTACCAGCACGTCCCAACACGTACCAGCTCGTACCGGCACGTACCAGCACGTACCAGCACGTACCAGCACGCACCAGCACGTACCGGCACGTACCAGCACGCACCAGCACGCACCAGCACGCACCAGCACGTACCGGCACGTACCAGCACGCACCAGCACGTACCAGCACGCACCAGCACGCACCAGCACGCACCAGCACGCACCAGCACGCACCAGCACGCACCAGCACGCACCAGAACGCACCAGCACGTACCAGCACGTACCAGCACGCACCAGCACGCACCAGCACGTACCAGCACGTACCAGCACGTACCAGCACGCACCAGCACGCACCAGCACGCACCAGCACGTACCAGCACGTACCAGCACGCACCAGCACGCACCAGCACGTACCAGCACGTACCAGCACGTACCAGCACGCACCAGCACGCACCAGCGCGCACCAGCACGTACCAGCACGTACCAGCACGTACCAGCACGCACCAGCACGCACCAGCACGTACCAGCACGCACCAGCACGCACCAGCACGCACCAGCACGTACCGGCACGTACCGGCACGTACCAGCACGCACCAGCACGTACCAGCACGCACCAGCACGCACCAGCACGCACCAGCACGCACCAGCACGTACCAGCACGTACCAGCACGCACCAGCACGCACCAGCACGCACCAGCACGTACCAGCACGCACCAGCACGCACCAGCACGCACCAGCACGCACCAGCACGCACCAGCACGTACCGGCACGTACCAGCACGCACCAGCACGTACCAGCACGCACCAGCACGCACCAGCACGCACCAGCACGTACCAGCACGCACCAGCACGCACCAGCACGCACCAGCACGTACCAGCACGCACCAGCACGCACCAGCACGCACCAGCACGTACCAGCACGTACCAGCACGTACCAGCACGCACCAGCACGCACCATCACGTACCAGCACGTACCAGCACGCACCAGCACGCACCAGCACGCACCAGCACGTACCAGCACGTACCAGCACGTACCAGCACGCACCAGCACGCACCAGCACGTACCAGCACGCACCAGCACGCACCAGCACGCACCAGCACGTACCAGCACGTACCGGCACGTACCAGCACGCACCAGCACGCACCAGCACGTACCGGCACGTACCGGCACGTACCGGCACGTACCAGCACGCACCAGCACGCACCAGCACGCACCAGCACGTACCAGCACGCACCAGCACGCACCGGCACGTACCGGCACGTAAAAGCACGCACCAGCACGCACCAGCACGTACCAGCACGTACCGGCACGTACCGGCACGTACCAGCACGCACCAGAACGCACCAGCACGTACCAGCACGTACCAGCACGCACCAGCACGCACCAGCACGTACCAGCACGTACCAGCACGTACCAGCACGCACCAGCACGCACCAGCACGCACCAGCACGTACCAGCACGTACCAGCACGCACCAGCACGCACCAGCACGTACCAGCACGTACCAGCACGTACCAGCACGCACCAGCACGCACCAGCACGCACCAGCACGTACCAGCACGTACCAGCACGCACCAGCACGCACCAGCACGTACCAGCACGCACCAGCACGCACCAGCACGCACCAGCACGTACCGGCACGTACCGGCACGTACCAGCACGCACCAGCACGTACCAGCACGCACCAGCACGCACCAGCACGCACCAGCACGCACCAGCACGTACCAGCACGTACCAGCACGCACCAGCACGCACCAGCACGTACCAGCACGCACCAGCACGCACCAGCACGCACCAGCACGCACCAGCACGTACCGGCACGTACCGGCACGTACCAGCACGCACCAGCACGTACCAGCACGCACCAGCACGCACCAGCACGCACCAGCACGTACCAGCACGCACCAGCACGCACCAGCACGCACCAGCACGCACCAGCACGTACCAGCACGCACCAGCACGCACCAGCACGCACCAGCACGTACCAGCACGTACCAGCACGGACCAGCACGCACCAGCACGCACCATCACGTACCAGCACGTACCAGCACGCACCAGCACGCACCAGCACGCACCAGCACGTACCAGCACGTACCAGCACGTACCAGCACGCACCAGCACGTACCAGCACGTACCAGCACGCACCAGCACGCACCAGCACGTACCAGCACGTACCGGCACGTACCAGCACGCACCAGCACGCACCAGCACGTACCGGCACGTACCGGCACGTACCGGCACGTACCAGCACGCACCAGCACGCACCAGCACGCACCAGCACGTACCAGCACGCACCAGCACGCACCGGCACGTACCGGCACGTAAAAGCACGCACCAGCACGCACCAGCACGTACCAGCACGTACCGGCACGTACCGGCACGTACCAGCACGCACCAGCACGTACCAGCACGTACCGGCACGTACCGGCACGTACCGGCACGCACCAGCACGTACCAGCACGTACCGGCACGTACCGGCACGTACCAGCACGCACCAGCACGCACCAGCACGTACCAGCACGTACCAGCACGCACCAGCACGCACCAGCACGCACCAGCACGTACCAGCACGTACCAGCACGCACCAGCACGTACCAGCACGCACCAGCACGCACCAGCACGTACCAGCACGTACCGGCACGTACCAGCACGTACCAGCACGCACCAGCACGTACCGGCACGTACCGGCACGTACCGGCACGTACCAGCACGCAGCAGCACGTACAAGCACGCACCAGCACGCACCAGCACGTACCAGCACGCACCAGCACGCACCAACACGTACCGGCACGTACCGGCACGTACCAGCACGCACCAGCACGCACCAGCACGCACCAGCACGTACCAGCACGCACCAGCACGTACCGGCACGTACCGGCACGTACCGGCACGTACCAGCACGCACCAGCACGCACCAGCACGCACCAGCACGTACCGGCACGTACCGGCACGTACCGGCACGTACCAGCACGCACCAGCACGCACCAGCACGTACCAGCACGGACCAGCATGTACCAGCACGCACCAGCACGTACCGGCACGTACCAGCACGCACCAGCACGTACCAGCACGTACCGGCACGTACCGGCACGTACCAGCACGCACCAGCACGCACCAGCACGTACCGCACGTACCGGCACGTACCGGCACGTACCTGCACGTACCAGCACGCACCAGCACGTACCAGCACGCACCAGCACGTACCAGCACGTACCGGCACGTACCGGCACGTACCAGCACGCACCAGCACGTACCAGCACGCACCAGCACGTACCAGCACGCACCAGCACGCACCAGCACGTACCAGCACGCACCAGCACGTA